GTATTTTTTTATTTGCAAACTCTGCAAAAAAGGTGCATCTAGTTTATACGACGGAGTATTAGGGCCATACATGAAGAGAAAAAATATTTTTGCCATGACGAGATTCGACATGTCGACATTAAACTCAACATTTCGAGAATAAAGTTAAAATGTCATGTTGAGTTTAATCTCGCCCTGTCGACTTTAAACTCGCCATTTCGAGAATAAAGTTGAAATGTCATGTTGAGTTTAATCTCGACGTGTCGACAATAAAGTTTAAATTAGTTCAAGAGAGCCAACCGCTGCACAGGATACATGCACAGAATCCTATACAGTTGCAGCACGTCAAAGACTACCTTCACTCTTAAAACGCAGACTGCAGCTGTGGAGCGCGGTTGCTCTTTTCTCCAAACTTTGGAATGTCGAGATTAAAGTCGCCATGATATATCAACTTTATTCTCGAAATGGCGAGTTTAAAGTCGACACGTCGAGATTAAACTCAACATGACATTTCAACTTTATTCTCAAAATGTTGATTTTAATGTCGACATGTCGACTTTAAAGTAGACATGTCGAGTTTAATCTTGTCATGGCAAAAATATTTTTTCTCTTCATGTGTGGCCCTAATACTCCGTCGTAAGTTTAGGATAATAAATGGATTGAAGGGGGACATTTTGAAGGCAGACTAACAGGTAATTGAGGGTCAGAATTCTAGCTGATAGACTGGTGTTCAAATACTTATTTGCAGCTGGATCATACAAATAAATAGTAAATAATTAATAAATTCTGACTTCTAAATCTTTAGTTTTTTTTGAGACTATGTGTTTCAAAGTGGACATACAGCAACAATGACAATTTCAGACCCTCCATAATTCCTAAGTGAGAATTATGGAGGGCCTGATTGATATATAACACTTTTTTTTAGATTGAATTATAGTTAAAATATATAACTTAGGACTTTTTTATTGTTCATAGCTGCTGACAGAAGCCTCAGATGAGCCCTAAACATAAGAAATAAAGGGTACAGTAATTAAAATAACTAGTTGTCTTAAATTTTCCCCAAAATATGGGCACCACTAGGCTTCTCTTAATAAAGATTTTGCTGGACCAGATATTGTTGCAAAAAAACTGGAAAAGTATTTTAAGTAAAATCCTTTTTAAAGATCCATAAACTTAAGTTTGTCACCAACACACAAACTGAAAAGGTTTTTGAATATATGAAATAAAAACAAACCAACCAACAATAATAGATTTAAAAAAATGCACTAGCTTAAAAAGAAAGATCAATAAAATAGAAATAATAACTCCATGTGGCTCAATCTTCATCTCCTTAATTAAGGTTGTCATTTTTTTAGCTGCTGTACAGCTGTGGCCGTTTATGGCAGTTCACAACAGCTGTCAAGTTTGCATCACTTTTATTATACCTTTTTTTTTTTTTTTTTATGCTTTCCTTTCTACTAAATTCAAGAGCAGAAGCGAACCACATAGTCTGCAGGTGAGCATCATTAGATTAGCCCTTTTTGGGTTTGGTTTGGATGATTAAACGCCCCAGTGATGGAAGATTGGCAGGAAGTATTAAACCACCCACTGGTTATAGTTTTTTTTAGCTGGGAAACTTGCATGGGTTGATTGTGTTCTAGGTGCAGCTGCAAGTTTATTGCATTGCTGCTTTTAGTTGCTCCTGCCTAACAACAAATGCGACACACCAGCTTGTCCAGGCTGGACACAGTGATTTAACTGAAATCCTAAATCCATCCACTGTGCCGTTGTTTCATTCCGTTTGGAAACCAATTCCATCTCTTTCAAAATCTCATTGCTTAACAGTATGAGTCCATTTATCTGGTGAGTATCTGACCATTAATTAACTCCTTCCAACGCTGAAGAAACGAGAAGGAAGAGTTGAGTGGATATCGAAGCGCCACATTGAAACCTTTTTCCATCCAGTTTTTAGTAGAAAGAGATAAAAAATAAAATAATGATGCAAATGGAATTTACCCAGCTCACTGAAATTTTTGATGTGAATAGTCTTAATCATGTAATATTTTTATCGTAACAGGCTTAGGCACCACTTCACCTTTTATTTCCATAGATGTAGTTTAACTTCAAAGGCTATTATATTATTTGAGGTTCAGATTAGAGTTTTCACTTTAGCTTCAAGGTCTTGCAGTTTACATACTTCCTGCCTCCTCAGGTCTTTGTCTCAGTATAAAAACAAATTAATTGGCTTTTTTTTTTTAGCATCCAAAGCGTGTCTGAATGCTTTTATTTACCCCAGCTTTGCTCTCTCCAATTTTTTCATTCTTTGTTTCTTACTGTATCCTTCTAAATTAGTATGTAATGTTAAAAAAACACATGACTGATTAGAAATATCTGGAAAATTCCAGATCTAAGGTTAAAGGTATAGTGGAGGATGTTCTTTTTCTGGCTGGATCATCAAAATAAGTGGTCCTCCTAATTCTTAATCATTCTGGTGATATGTTTACGTAAGTTCAGCCTACGTGCTCGTCCCCATTCTCACTTACCGATGGAGAGTCTGACATAGTGGAAAAATCGCAAATCTTATTTTGAAAAGTAAGCTTGTTTGAGCGATGCAAACTTTTAAACACAGCCCGCACAAGGAGAAATGGGCTTGTGCACGCTCTTGCACACGTTTTAATAGGCGTTCCCTCTCGGTAGCGGGTACGGGGTTTTGCATGTGCTTTGTTTTGTTTTAAGTGGAGAGGACGGGTCGTTTGAAAAAAAATCGTGAAAATCCTCAAATATACCTTCAATAGATCTAGATATCTCTGAACTTTCCAAAAAAAGTTAAGAATCAATCCACTGGACTTTTTCAATTCAAAATGTCAGAAATAGCGTTGAGTATGGAAGCCCAATAGATTCATAATTAAATAAAAAAATATGAAATAAATACAATTTTGATAAATAACAAACAAATATATAATATGGTCATGAAATAAAAACAAGGTAAAGTTATTATGAAATATATATTTTTATTCTTTAATATCTACTTATTATTATATTTGCCTGCTTTGATTATACAATCAAAGCAGGCAAGGCAGAGCCAGTTAGGTGATTGGCTGCTCCTTTACTAAGACATGAGCAGCAGCACTTGCAGTATCGATTCAAGTGCGGAGACTAGTGTTGTCACGATACTAAACTTTTCAACTCGATACCGATACTAAGGAAAATATCCCATACTCGATACCATTTTCGATACCACAAGGATAAAAACAAAGACTCCAAAATTCTACAGAAACTTTCGTTAATAATAAAAATACAATAGATAAATACAATAAACAATAAGAACAATATTTTGAGGTTGTATGCTGTGCACAATATTAAGCAAGCTTGATAAAAAAACTTATACAATTAAAATTAAGTGTTCCTTCCTTGGCTATGCTTTGCACACATAACAATGACACTAGCCAAACCGGTTAAGAAACAGAAATAATTCTCAGTAGCTGCACCTCTTACAAAAAAAGTCTGAAACTGAAAAGTGCACAGAATTATTCAATCACACAGTGTTCAGAAAGTGCATTGTCCTCTATTCTGCACTTTAGATGAATGACTGTTTAGGTGCCACTGGTGGTAGCACTGTATCGATACTTTTAAAAATGTGTATTGTATCGGGATACAACGTTTCAGTATCGATACTTTTGACAACCCTAGCGGAGACTTATCACCAACTGGAGGTCAGGAGTTAGCGGCTCGTTAGCGATGAGATGGCAGCTGGAGAGAAGTCAGTTGCAGAATTGCTCAGAGAAGTTGCGAATAGATTGGATAGTAACACGACTCCTGCACCTCAGCCTGAGAGAGGAGCACTGCAGCACCGTGTTTCTGACCAGTTGGTGCCTGGACGTTCACCTCACAGTGCAGCATCAGCTTTACAAACTGCTCATGCTAACGCGGGTAACCAGACCCCACGGAGGTTCAACCCTTTAGCTTAGATTGACAGACAAGTCATTTTGCTGAAAAATGACATTATGAAATAAAAAATGACTTTGGGAAAAACTTTTTTATTCGATAAAATCTTGGAAAATTAAATAAAATTCTTTTTTTTTTTTTTTAAGTATGATATTATGAAAACAATTTTATGAAATATTCAATTATGATAAAAAAAAATAACAAGAAGTAAATACTAAAGAATAGTTATATGTCTTTCATAATAACATTACCTTGCTTTTTATTTCATGGCCATATTGTATATTTGTGTGTTATTTATCAAAATGGTATTTATTTCATAGTTTTTTATTTATTTAATTATGAATCATTCGGGGTTCCATAGTTGAGTTCCAGGCTTTGTAGAGTGGACCAAAAACAAAGCCTTATTTTGGCTTTTTTGGTCTACTCTATAAAGCCTGGTACTCAACGCTATTTCTGACATTTTGAATTGAAAAAAGATGGGAAGAGAAAGGTCTTCAAACTTGGAAACAAAGTCCAATCGATTTTTTATTTTTATTTATTTATTTATTTTTTATATATTTTTTTTTTTTACTTTCTTGGGATGACTATGACCTGGATTACTGAAAATCTTCACCAGCATTTTTCTAAACTGTAAATAAAGAAGCATTAAAATGTGTTTTGTGTTATGACATTTTTTTTGTCTTTTTGCTTTTAGCTGTGACCTGAAAAAAAAAAAAAGATTTAGCTTATTTTTTAATTTTTTGAACAAATTTTTTATTATTTTTCCAAATAATACAGTGTGTTACGAATGTACATGTGTATTTTTACACTTTTAAACATAAAATGCAAAACACAAACAACAGAGTGATTTCAAGAGTATGAGAGGTTCAGTTGGGGAGGGGAAAAATAAATAAATAAATGTGCTTATTTTTGTGGTAAAAATGTTTTTTTAACACCTTAATGGAAAAATTTGTTTACTTTACAGACCTCTAAATAATACTTAAATTTGAAGGCCCGTTAATCAAGTGTAAATGCCTAGCTGTACAGCTTTCTGTCAAATATTTTCTTATGTTTAATTGTTCAGGATTGTGATTGTAGTTTTTCTTTCTTTTCTGCAGAACGTTCAGTCAGAAGAGGGCAGCTATAGAGAAAGACTACGCCCAGGTAAAAAACCTTGTCGTTTTTTCTTAACGCTAGTCCTGATGTTCGGTAACGCCACCACTGTTGTGCCTTGTCATTTATATGGCTAAAAATATCAATGATTCTTTTAACAATATGACCCCTTAAACGCACCATCTGACAGCTGGGTTGAGGATGTGGCATTTAGAAAAAAAGGCTTTGTGGCCAGATAACTCATGTATGTCAACAAGCCACAGAAAAAACATCCAAACAGGGAGCTCCGTAGCTTCCTCTTCTGATCCAGTATCTCCCTTCCTCCTCGCTGTTTTTTTTATTCTCTCTTGCCCACCGCTTCCTGAAGACATAATTGAAATATTTGAAAATCCCCCTCTATCCTACTTGGCTGTGTTCTGGTTTTTCAGCTCTCTGAGGAATGTGTTCTAGTGCTGTAAAGAATGAGGGCATGTTTGTTGTTTTCATCCAAACAGACCTAAATGTTTGCTTTCTCTCTGACATTTAGTGTTTTGGGGGATTATTCTCAAAGTCCAGCAAGTGTTTAATTTTGCTAATAGTTCTAATTTTCTGTTAATATCCATGCTTTGTACATTAAATTCAGTCAGTATTTGGACAGGCCATCAATTCTTGATCTACATTCACACCCAATGCAAAAGGTAAAGGGAGCAAGTGATTTATATCTCATCCCCAAGTGAAGACGGGGTTGGTAAATAATTGACATTCAAACAATGCATTTCGTACGATTTGACTTGGGTTAATGAAGAAGAAATAAAGCAATTATAGAAATTTTGCTGGAGTTCAACAATCAGAACTTTTCTGTCGATTCCTGTTGCATTAACCAATTGAACTGGATGTTATTGTGATGTGGGATGAAGAACTTTTTTAAAGGAAAAGTCCGGTCATATTCAGAATTAAAACTTCTGAAAGTTCTTTAAATATAAAATTATTCCATCCTGTTCAATAAACGATCAGTGTTTTTAATTGAGAATCATTTTCATGTGAATGTGCTTTACTGGAGGCATCCATGTTTGTCAAAGAACACTACTGCCACCTACTGGTTAGTGACGTCACGGTGCGGTATGGGCTGTTGATCAAGTCCCAGTGCTGTATCTGGTGTTTGTCACAACGCGCTATTATCCAAGTCATCTAGAAAACATTCTTCTTCCAAATGTTGGCTACATATTACGGGTTTTTTCTCTGGCCAGAAGTTCGATGGCAAATCCTCCCTCTTCAAGTTGGCGATCCAACGACCAACCCGTCCGTGGAGGATCAGGAATCAGAAAGGTGGAATAACTCTTTTTTTTCACTTTTACCCAATGTATTCCAGCATCCAGCTGCCATGCACGTGGGCATTGTCAGTTTCACTATAGCTCTGGTGAATTTCAATGGTGAAGTCCTCTGGAAATCTTCAATAATTGTTGTTGATTGCAGATGTGTCTAGTAGTTCCCATTGATTTAGCTTGTATAGCGGGGAGAATGGCGCTAGGCTTACCGCACCGTGACGTCACTGCTGGAAGATGGCAGGAGGGAGGGGTTACTATATTTGGGCAAAAATGGCCGCTCCCAGTCTCGGTGATCGCGACGAAAATGTGTATTATTTTTATTTTACATTTTTTTTACAGATTAATGCTAAAGTTCTTAAATCACCACAATCATACTATTTTGAGGTATAAATAATGATCCATTGATTATTCCTTGCTGACCGGACTTCTCCTTTAACTTTATTTTAAAAACTCACCTGATGGAGATCCTTTGTCACATATTTACAGTTAATCTGATTTTATGGACGTGCACTTTGTTTCAAGTAATGAACATTTTTATTATTTGTTTTGCTGATGGTATAATAATTTGAGGATTGAAGAGGTTTTTTAGTTGTCATTCCGAGATTCATTCAGCCTGTTAATTTTCTTTTCGTAAAATTTGATGGAGCAGACAATTTAACTGTTTTCTAGATGATCCATTATTGGTCTTTTTTTTTTTCCATCTGCGAAGAGGTGAAGGTTTTTATTGCCTTAACTATAGGATTAAAATGTCTGAGCGGTTGGTTACATCTGTGATCAATTAAACAGCGGCTGCCAGTGATTGAATCAAAGTGGGTCAGACTCTCTGGAACAGTTTGCTCTCTTTAGGGACCCTCCTCTTTTCAAATCTGGTCTCTGAAAGGGTATTTTCCTTGGTCTCTTACACCTGCGGGCAGCTTCGGCCATTAGGCGATTGCTATTCACATCACACGGTGTGGTTAAGAAGCCCTCCTCTGTGCAGCCCTTCCTCTGCCATCCTCGCCTCCCATCACACTATTCAAGGGTGTCCATTAGGCCGGCTCAGCCGCTGACTGTCTCTATCTGAGCCCACAGTGGTCGCATCTGTCGCAACTTTAAAGTTTTGGCACTGTGATCACCAAGATCAATGAGTTCATGCCCCCACCTCTCCTCCTTCAGGGCCACATAAATGGGGTCTGTCTTTTTTAATTAAAGGGTGGATAGATGAGGAATTGTTAGTCCTTGAAACAACATTTGTTTCCTTTAAAGAATATAAAATCATTAAGAAACCCTGCTTCTATTTAGAGACCGACCAATACATTGTGCTTTTGGGACGCTAACCCTCAGATTCCCGTTCAGTTTTATTTTTGGTTGCAAGGCTTGGCATCATTACAAGATAAATGTATCTTTTATCAACTATTTTTTTCTGACCGGTTTTTCTTCTTAAGAGCACATTTATGTTCCTAGAATAATTACCTTCCTTCTTCATGATTATTAAACTAACAAGGTTTCCAAAACTTCAAAACAGGCCTCAGGCTCAATGTTACCCTGAAACCAAATACTTTTTTTTAACAGATATTGGTAGTTTAGCAAACATTACACATGCAACGATAAACAAAAATCCTTGTCTGGTATGTGCCTTTAAATTAAAGTCACAGTTGGTGCATGTCAGTCCACGGAAATAAACAAGAATTCTTAAATATATTAATTGCTTTATTCAACAGCTAACAAATTACTTCAAGGACTAAACAAAGTTTCAGTGAATAGTTTAGAGCTGAGGTCACTAATTAAAAAAATCAGTGGGTTCCTAAAAAAGAAAGTCATCAACCAGTAAAGGTCCAAAGTAGGGATTGAACGGTTTATGAAAACCGTCCGAACCGTTCGGTTCGACTGTCTCGGTTCGGTTCGTGTGTGTTGCGTTCGGTTCATGCGCTGCTCCTTTTTCTCATAGGCGAAGCGTGTACACTCCAGAGCAGAAGGTGGCGGTACTGCGACCAAAGCCAACCACCAGTAGTAAACAAGAAGAAGAAGAAGCGAAGCAGCTTAGCCGCATAGATATCCATAATAAAGGCTAGATGTCTCGTCCGCGCTGCTGGTCAATGGGGGTCGACGTCCGCACATGGCGGCCATCTTGCCACAGGCAGCTCGCTCATTCGTAACATTGTGTTTTAAAGGCGCATGTACTTAAATAACCATAACTTCCTCAATTGTCTAATGATTCTCAAACTGTTTGGTTTGTTAAACAAAAGTCAGACATGTAGTTATGATACTGCACACTTATGAATAATTATAACCATGGAATTTCATATGAAAAGAACATTGAATAGAACATACAGGTGCAATAAATATACACATGCACAAGGTATTTATGTTAAATCAATATATGCTATTAAAACTCAGTGTACTGAATACTATATATATAGATATATCTATATAAATAGATATATATCTATATAAATAGATATATATCTATATAGATATAGATACCTATATCTATATATATATATATATATAAAAACACCTTTATTTGGGTGTGATTAATTATTTCACAGTCCTAATTTATTTATATTTACATACATACTTTTATAATATGAATATTATTGTTATAATAAAATATGAAATACTGACAAAAAAGGCTTATTGTGTGGCAACCTCTTGGCGTAGAAGCATAATCCAGGTTTCAAATTAAAGGTAACACTTTGAAGTTTCATGTAGACTATTTGGATTATATATCAGGGGTAATTACACAAACGTTCCTATTTTTAAACCATTATAAAAGTGACATTTATTTGCTATTAAAATTGGTACAATAGTCCCCTTCACAAGTATATATAGATGTAGCATGTTGAAATCCCCACCTACACTACTGTGATGGTATACACATGGAAGACAGATTTAAAAAATGACCCAAAAAACATAGCTTGGCTAATGCCCTTTGAAAAGGACGGTTTTATTGAGCTTCTGTGTAATGTACAAGAGAGCGTTGACCACAAGGCCATCAAAGCAGACGGGAAGGTAGCTGTGGTCATGTAGTAGTGCAGGAATGTCAGCAAACGGGGATGGAAGATCTTCTCCTCCTGCTTACACATTATATAACCTGCAGAAACAAAAACAAAAGTGACCAACAACAATTCACAGTGTATAAGATTGGTATATCAATATATGATTAAATTTCAATGATACACATGCCCTTTGAAGATGAGATGGAAAGTTTTGAGTCAACAACAATCTTGTAATACTATTATGTCATAGCAAAAGTCTGGCATCTTCCTTTTAATAAACCCAGCAAATTCCTGTAACATAATGTAAGATGTGTTGACAGACCAAATCGATTGGAAATCATGTTAAATTCTGCCTCTTCCACTGATGTAAAGTTGCTGGTTAACGTTAGCAGCTAGCTAAACTGTAACGTTAGCTGCTAACTTACTAACGTTAGGTCTCACTTCGCAGCTTCTTGTTATTAGCCAGCTAACGTTAGGCTAATAATAAAAATACAACAACACTCAGATTATTGTTATTAGCCAACTAATAACTACAACCACATCCACAAAGATTGTAATTTACACCAAAGATTAATTGTCATACAATCGTTATTGGTGTCAGTAAAACCTATATAATTGACTAATAGTCTCAGCCTTGATAACTTGCGCAAGTAGCCGTGATGCACAACTATGCTGCGCGATTAATCTGCAATTTCGACATGTTCAAGCATCAAGAATAATAGCCACGTTCATAATGTTTGTAAGAAACCAAACTGTTTGTAAATCCGTCAAGAATTCAGTGAGGTAAGAGTATTTGTGTTCGTGCTGATCACTCGCCTTACTTTAGGTACCACAGAGCACACCAGAAAGCCTGCCTGAGGCAAGATGGCCGCCGGTGATGACGTTTGAGACTCTGCCGTAAGACATCTAGCCTTTATTATGGATATCTATGCGTAGCCGGGTGTAGCAGAAAAAAATCAGTTGTTGTGGATAGGCCTGTCACGATAACAAATTTTGCTGAAAGATTAATTGTCTCAAAAATTATTGCGATAAACGATAATGTTGTTTTAAGACCTTTTTACACTGATTTAATGGAAGTGACCTAATAATGCATGCATTTTTCTGCCAAAGATAAACGCACTTTATTTTCAACAGAACACTTAACACTGGAACTGGTTAACAAAATAAAACGAGAAATAAAAATCAAATGGACTCTGAGTCTCTGTTAACTAAAAATAAACTTGAATAAAAACTAAACACAAGATAAAACCACAGCGGAAACAAAAATGTATGTACAAAATATCACGTTTGTTATATGTATGTTTTCCTCGGGAATTCATCCTGTCTATCAAGTGTCTGCAACATTTTTCGAAATGCCGGCTTTTCATCAATATTAAATGGGAGCATCTCTTTAGCAATTAAATGAACTACGCTGTCTGTGAGTGCACGGCTGCGCGCCACTTTGCGCCGTCCTTTGTGAATGCTGCCTGTTTAATTGCTTCAGTCATGGTGGACTGTCGCGAACTTGAAGATGCAGACGGGACACCGCTTGTACTTTTTGTCCCCAGCTGGAGAAACTTTGCTGGGTGGTTGTGCTTTAGGTGCATGTGTAGGTTGGTTGTATTGCTGCTCTCAGTTGCTGCTGTTTTATGACAAATGCGACATACTGCCTCGCACAGGTTCAGCAGTTAACCTCAGTCTTTTGTTTGAATCCAAAATACTCTCACACTGCGGCTGTTGCGCTTGACGTTGAAACCAGTTCCATTTCGAGCTTTTCCCCCAACATAAGATGTGTTTTTTTGTTTTGTTTTTACCTCGCTAACTCCTTTAACTTCTCACGGGGCTCTAAAGCTGCAGAAGTACAAAATGATGCGCGCTGACTACCTGATGTGATAGTCCACTCTTCCTTCCTCCTCAAAAATAAGGAAGGGGAGGGTTCAGTGGATAGCACCGGAGTTAAGCCTTTTCATTCAGCGTCATCAATAGGAGAAAAACACAGGCAGAGACGATATAGCTGATAAATGAAATGACGTGGATAATTTTGATTTATCGTGCGATTAATTGATTTATTGATTATCGCGACAGGCCTATTAGGAAGTTTGATATGATATCTGCGATGGTGGTACTGCTGCTGAAGCTCCTCAGAAATGTAATTAGCTCGCAGAGCTGTAGTAAGTAGTTCGGCATCCATTCTTTGCCAGCTTTGTGAGTCAATTGTCATGGTTGCTAGGCGACAACGTTTGCTGGGTGTGTCAGAGAAGCGTCAACCCGTTTGAATCTATAGCTGAACTCTTCCGGCCTCCTTATTTTCACGGCATTTGAAGTACCCGGTCTACCTGGACTGGGTCCTTCGGAGGACGCAGACAGCGAAATTGAACACAGCCTGTTTAACTCCAGTCACACCAGGTGAAAGCTAAAGAGACGATTCACTATCAGGAATAAGGTCTGAATGCAGATTAGTGGCAAATGAAAGTAGGTGTACTATGTGTTTATGCATTTTAAAACCCAGTTGGACTATTTTAATTAACCTTTGTGCCCAGCTGCTTTTAACCAGTTTGAGTTGGTGACTTTCAGTTTTAACGATATCCCTATCTTTAGATAGAGTTCCTTCTTGTTTACTTATGACCCTTTTAAAACTGTTGAGTCATATAATCTGTTATCGACTGAGCTGTCTGCCAGCTGCCTTTAGGTTTGTTGTGGTGCAGCCGTTCTGCAAGAACAAACATTTAGACCCTCCATCCCGTCTCTGACTGCTAGTTTGTCACAAAGCCGCCAGTTTTTAACCAATTAAAAAGGTTAAAACTGAAAAGTTTAAAACTAAAAAGTTTAAATCTAGCATTTAAAAGTAGCACATCATTGAAACAAAAGCTATAAGGGTTTTTAATCAGGTAATTTTAACTGTTTGTTCTTGGACTAGTTATTTTGGTCATCCAATAAAAATGTGAAATTCTTCAAAGCCAGCATTCGACCCTCTTAGCAATACTAAGACTTGGATCAACTGAAGTCGCCTCCATTTGAACAACAGTGAAACTGAAGTCATGTTATATGGATTTACAGACCTTTTCTCCACCATCTTGAGCCTTTCTTGTTGTACAGTTGTTCTTTATTTAGGAATCCTACCTGAGAGTTGATTCCACTTCAACACCACACATCAAACCAAAGACACTTCATGGATTCCTGCTCTATTAGTTGCAACACTCTTCACCAAAGTCACAGGAAGATCGAAGCAAGAGCATCCCAAGAACAGATAACAGTTATAACAGTTTTCATAAAAGGAGGTGTTTGCTAGTAAACAGTTGGGGTGTAAATCACATCCATCATGGCGATTCGATTCAGTATCAATTTCCTGACCCAACGATTCGATTATTTTCGATACTCAAGAATATACCACGATACGATTCGATTAATCGGCTAATTTTTTTTTTTTTTTACACCTTACAGGCTAAACAAAGTTTCAAATTTGAAATAAATCAATGAAAGCTGTAATATCATTATGCATTTTTCTTTAGAAACAACAGCAAATAACAGAAGTAGAAAAGTTGCATCAAAAAATACTGCAGAAAATCAGTGCAATGAGTGCAATGCAATACCTCGGCTCCAGACGTCCCCGCCCCCTCCACAGACGCTCCGCTGCTCTTCTTCAAAATTGTAGCTGACCGCAGACAGGAGGCCGGCTTGTTTTGTTTTTATGACCGAAATTGCGGAAAACAACTTGTGAAGTTTGACCCGCTAGAAGAGCGAGGTGCGTGAGAACGCTGGGACCCTTTTTCCACCTGGATCTCCGCTCTTTTTGGCCCTCATGTCCCTCCGATGTCGAACTAAACTCGCCCCCACTTCCTCTCCGCCTCGGCCGTATCTAGACCCACAGCGTGTAGCACAGACCACGCTTCAATATTGAGCATAAATCAAAAATGTCTGCATCAAGCTCACTGCAACACACTGCTGTAAGAGTATAACCAGGAAGCGAGGTAGGAGGGCAAAATAGGTTTAGCGCCACCGCAGCACGGGAGGAGAATTACGCCCAGGAGCAAATGGATAAAAATAGACCGGAGGAAAAAAAAAAACATGAATCGATTCTCTTGCAGACGTATCGATGCATCGGATCGTTGGCTGTTGGATCGCTGCATTGATACAAAACGATTATTATTTACACCCTTAGTAAACAGTATTATCAATTAGGTGTATATAAGTTTTGAGCTGAGCACTAAACACTGGCTAAGGGTTGAAAGACCAGGCTGACTAAATTCACTTAATTTTATTCCCAATTGTTTTTGTTTTTTTTGCTTGTTCTCTTTCAGGCTCTCCAGAAGCTGGCCAATCAGTATCTGAAGAGGGAATGGTCCGACAGCGTTTCAGAAAAACAAACAGATCACAGGTACTATTTATTTTCATAAATGTGTTCGGACTGTTTCCTGTTTCATGCTTTTGTTTACAAAAACTCAAGATAGAAGAGGCCCGTGTCAATCCTCTAACATTTATCACCAGATAAACTTTTATTGCCGTTCATATATTTTCCTTCCTGATGAGAAGTGACAAGCCGCTGAAGGACTTAATCAGTCATTTCATATGTTTATTGCTGTTCTAGAAGCTTAAACCTTTTCCTAAAGTTGCCCACTTCGGGCTGAACCTAAGGCCTGAGCTATGGAAGTAAATCTGTGTCGCTGGGATTTGAATTAAAAATGCCATTGAAATTTAAATGTTGTATGTTTGTACTTACTGTTTCAGTGTTGAAATATATTCAGAACACATTTTTGACCTAAAAAAAATGAATTGTCGTTATTTCCACACAGTTGAAACTTAATTTGTTATTTTCTCTTCAAGCTAAAAATTCACATTACTATTTCAAAGTGATTACATGTTCAATACTTATTTTTCAGTTTAATTGTTGAGTGTTAAAAAAATCTGCATATAAAAAAATTCAACCTTTCAAAATTCAAACTCAATATTCTCAGCCTCCTGAGATTCAACTGGCTCTATTTCACCGTCTTAAATTCGGCGTCTAAATTCAGTGTAAAAAGGGAAGGGTTACTTCAGGTCACAGACATTAGCAATGGATTGTGGCGTCCAACACCGAGCCAATCCCGTTACGTTTTCTTAGTCACATGACGTGACGCTTGCGGCGCTCATACGGAAGGAAAACCAGCATGACGGAGCCGGTCATGCAAGCTAACGCTAACTCAACTACAGAAAATGAAAGTAATAAACTCACCGTTGAGTTAGCGTTAGCTTACATGACCGGCTCCGTCATGCTGGTTTTCCTTCAGTATGAGCGCCGCAAGCGTCACGTCATGTGACTAATAAAAACGTAACGGGATTGGCTCGGTGTTGGACGCCACAATCCATTGCTAATGTCTGTGACCTGAAGTAACCCTTCCCTTTTTACACTGAATTTTGACGCCGAATTTAAGACGGTGAAATAGAGCCAGTTGAATCTCAGGAGGCTGAAAATATTGAGTTTGAATTTTGAAAGGTTGAATTTTTTTATATGCAGATTTTTTTAACACTCAACAATTAAACTGAAAAATAAGTATTGAACATGTAATCACTTTGAAATAGTAATGTGAATTTTTAGCTTGAAGAGAAAATAACAAATGAAATTTAAATAATAATGTGTAGAAATAATGACAATGAAATTTTTTTAGGTCAAAAATGTGTTCTGAATATATTTCAACACTGAAACAGTAAGTGAAAACATACAACATTTAAATCCCAGCGACACAGATTTACTTCCATACTGATCTCCCCTATGCCAACCAGCAGTGATGCAGTTGTTCATTGATAAAGGAACCCTGATAGAGCACAGATACTGTATATATTATATAGAATTATTGGCGATAGTCAACATTTCTGTGTTAAAATCCCTTTTTTTCGTGTTGTTTAATATTGTAATTTTCCGACATACAGAATAATCAAAACTGATAAATCTGTTTCTGTAGAATAATGGAGACTCCTTGAATTAATCTTTTCAATGACTTTCTGAGGACTTGATCCGTCTCCACATTTAGGAATAAACATTGCGGTATTGAACTGTGATGGTTTATACTTTTATACTTGCAACTTATTTTCTAACCTGCTTGTGTTGCAGGAAAAACTACCCTGCACAGCTTTTTCTTGGTCCAAATAAAACAAACCAGTCACTCCGCTCTTTGCCTTTAAGGCATGATAGAAGTTTTACTTAATTTAATTTATGAGGTTATTTAGGGTTTCCTAAAATGATGGAGGGGTTGGCGTTCATTGAAACACTATGAAACCTGATTTCAGAATTTCAGAACGGGCTGAAGAAGTATGAAATTCTGACCCAATGTTTTTGTTGTAGAAACCCCCTTCTTAGGTTTTTGCACACTTATGCAATCATAATACGTTTGTACATGAGTTTTCTCTTCCTCCACTTATGAATTATTCTTGAATAGGAGTAAAAATAAACGTTAAACACCTTTGTTTACTTTTTTTCTTTCTAGGAACATGTTCTGTGTATGGAGGACTTATTTGGAGGGTACCGTCCAGGCCACCCAGTTCAGACTGGGCGCCTGCGAGAACTATAAAGTTCAGGTTGCAGATCCAGCCAAGATGGCACGACTACAGAAGGAGCAGCAGCTCAGGAAGGTAACTCGAGTCAATCAGACAAACCTGCACCAGTTTCATAGCCTGATAAACCAGAGTAAATGGGAGATAAGAAGGTGTAATTTAGTCTGGCCCCCGATGAATAAGACATCGGAAGATTGTTGATGAGAAAAATCTGTTGTTTTTCAAACCATGTCTGTGCCTGTTGGCCAACGCTCTGACCAATGAGTGCAACTGACTGTGACATAGTAAGCGAGACAGGAATCTGGTGGGGGAGCGTAAACAAACAGCCAGTCGTTAAAACTGCGAATAAGTACTTTTTAAAAACGAATGAGCATAGAGCCTCTTCCTGCTCATGTTTCAGTGAAAACCTCAAGTCTAATCCTTCAAAAACTGATTCCAAAGCTGAGTCAAAAATTGCCATCAGAGCCAGCGGTCCTTCACACACGACTATGCCGAGAGAGGGCCGCTGCAGTCGGGCTGCGGTTAGCCCTGGATGCTGTTAGCTTCAGAGCTCCGCTGGTTGCCGCAGTCCTCTCAAATTCGGAAATAGTTTTTTTAATTACGCATGAAATCTGTAAATGGACCATATAGTGACGCTTTAAAGTATAATATTCTATTTTAAATGATCTTAAAACATACTTTTATTGAACAACAGGAGCAGGAAATAACTTTTAGCTTTCAATGGAGCGCTCCATTGAAAGCTACTGTTGTGCTTTCTCCAGCGTCGCGCAGCTTTGTCGTCATGCCCTCAAAACCCCGCCCACTTTGCTCCCAGAAATTCAAAACTCATCCTTGCGTTGTGATTGGCCCGCCAGCTTTAGGGCCTGGGGCATTGATCGAGGTTAGTACACTCGTAGACAAAAATGATTTTGGCGGCTAGTGGGTGGGGCTAGTTTACTAGGCTACCAGTTTCATTCACTTCTGTCCTTTTTAATGTTTACATCCAGAATCTGTTAGTGGTCCTCTCAAACCACTTCAAACTTTAAAATAAATACCTGCCCATCTTTTCTTGAGGGAAACTTCAAATAAAGTTACATTTACTTTTAAATCTATTTGATTTTGTGAAACAAATATACTGTGCAACTTTTTTAAAGATGATTCTAGAATGTTTTACAGTTTATAACGAAAGAAAATCTTCACAGCAATCCTCTTTCTTCCTTTGTCAACTTTTCTCACTAAAGATCACCGAAAACAAACCCACAGAGTCACAATGTTATTGTTCAGGATCTATTTCTGTCACCAGAGCTGGGCTGAAGAAGAATGAAACTGTGGCCCAGTGCTAAAAGCTTGTCTTCCAGATGTGGGGATGGTTTAATTTATAGAGTGTTAGAAAAGCCTAACTCTAACCATTATACTTCATGATCTAATGCACTGACATTTAAAACAAGATTTCCTGACATAAAAATAAATGTAGTAATTTAAGGGGAAACCACAGCTAATAAAACCAGTGGAAAAAGAAGATTAAAGATGTGTTGATTACGGACAGAATCGGCACTAAAGCGCAGTTTAGTTGCTGTGAAATTTTCTGTCACCACTTGGTATATAAAGCAGCGACGTTTAGTGTTCCTCTTATGTTGATCTGTTTATTGGAAGAAATGGGTTGCATAGATTTCTTTTTTTTTTTCTACAAACCAAAATATAAAGCAGAATATCATGCATTCAACCCATTTGCTTTGATATAACTAAATTAGTGCCATCTGTCTGCAGGTAGCATCCAGCTGTTCTGATAAGGCCTCTGAGGTTTGACAGTAAGCAGTAATGAACCTGCCCACTGTTCCTACATGCTTCCTAGAGATATGATCATTAAATATTAAAATTTTTTATTAAATCCAATTTGATTCTATTTAATTAAATGGGTAGTATCTGGATAAATCCCACCTGTTTTCCTGTGAAGTGACTTAAGGTGACCTTTGTTGTGAAAGGGTGGCCTTTACATTGACTTTATCATCTGCATTAAGTCATGATGTCATTTCCCTTATTCAGTTAAAGGAAAAGTCCGGTCAACAAAGAATAATGAATGTGTCGTTATCAGAGCGGAGCGCCGCGCAATTCCCGCTCCCCACTCAGGAGGATGTTCGCTCATTCGCTCCGCCGCTCAAAGTTGTGCCAGGACGCTCGGCTCAAAAACCGCTCTGCGCTCACCTTAATTTTTCTGCCGTTCCCGTGAAATCGCTCCACGCTCATTCAAATTTTCAGGAGAAGGAATTTCCTGACATTTTTCTTTCATGTAATGATGCCAGGGCCCTGGGACACACGGCGTTTGACCTAATGATGTGACCGATGCATGTGGATTGTCTTATTTAAATGGCTGTTAAATTATTAGACTAATACAGATTTATTTTGTTAATTTGTATACCCAAATGTAAACAAAAATTTCAGAAATTTCATTTAAAACAGCTCTAGACAGTTTCATATTTTAAAGTGCAGCCTTGAAAAACATAAAAAAATATATTATATTATTATATAATAGTAAAATTATGTCACTGTTTCCCAGCTGAGCGTAACACCTCGCTCCATTCATGTTGCCCCGCGTTTCCTATTCAATTAATCATTTGTTTTACTAGACTACAGTAAAAAAGGTCACTTTGCATCCCATTACAAATGAGATAATAGCGTATATTGCGATCCGTTTTCAAAAACAGACTCTTACCAAAACAATCACTTAATTTAAACCCACTCTGGATTGTTAGTGTATAGTTAGTGTATGTTTTTATGATATTTTATCCCACTTTTTATCACACAGTATGGAATCCTCTTCTCTGCAATTCTGTGGTAAAGTTGAAACATAGACTATAACAGTTTATAGACACAGACTGAAGCATAGGCCTAGGTTTTAAGTCAAACATGAATTTAAATTAGGTCGGAGCGAACTGGAGCGGAGTGAAATCCTTGTTCCGGCCTTTGAATTGAAAACCGCTCTGCGCTCCACAATATTTCTTCCGCTCCGCTCACCTGCTCTGGTCATTGTTTATACCTAAAACTAATACGTTCGCAGTGATTAAATAAATTTAGCGTTAATCAGTAAAAAAATAAAAACAGTATTTTTCGTCACGATCACAGTCTGGGAGCGGCCATTTTTACCCAAATATAGTAACCCCTCCCTCCTGCCATCTTCCAGCAGTGACATCACGGTGCGGTAAGCCTAGCGCCATTCTCCCCGCTTTACAAGCTAAATCAATGGGAACTACTAGACACATCTGCAATCAACAACAATTATTGAAGATTTCCAGAGGACTTCTCCATTGAAATTCACCAGAGCTATAGTGAAACTGACAATGCCCACGTGCATGGCAGCTGGATGCTGGAATACATCGGGGAAAAGTGAAAAAAAGAGTCATTCCACCTTTCTGATTCCTGATCCTCCACGGACGGGTTGGTCGTTGGATCGCCAACTTGAAGAGGGAGGATTTGCCATCGAACTTCTGGCCAGTGAAAAAACCCGTAATATGTAGCCAACATTTGGAAGAAGAATGTTTTCAAGATGACTTGGATAATAGCGCATTGTGACAAACACCAGATACAGCACTGGGACTTGATCAACAGCCGATAACGCACCGTGACGTCACTAACCAGTAGGTGGCAGTAGTGTTCTTTGACAAACATGGATGCCTCCAGTAAAGCACATTCACATGAAAATTACTCTGAATTAAAAACACTGATCATTTATTTAACAGTGTGGAATAATTTCACACTTAAAGTACTTTCAGAAGTTTGTATTCTGAATGCGACCGAACTTTTCCTTTAAATTCGATTCAGAAATACTTTATTAATCCCAAAGGGAAAATAGATATTTTGCAGTAACTCATAGGGTCTTTGTAGTTGTTGTTTATGCCATGTGGTTCTTTGATTAAGCAGGAAATGATTAGCCGATTAGAGTTGATTGTAACATAAATGAAGTGAAATACGCCTCCGTCTTTGATACTTGACTCTCAGTATGTCTTGAATTCCCCATAACTTTCATAAATGACTGACTGAAAGTACTTCTGCTTTTTTACCAACCTGTTATGTTCAATTTGACCTTTAGCTCTTCTTTAAACATTCTTATTGGTTTGTTTTTAATTGTTTTGTTTATAGAGCTTTGATTCAATCCTGTTCTGTGGAAGGAAACCTTGATGAGCATCCAAATGGGCAGAACCTGGGCTCAGGTTGCAGATTAGCCAAATCAGAATCTGAATCATAATGACGAAAGACGTGATATTCAAATGTTCTCCATCCAGCCTGTCTAAGCTGGAGCCGACAGGGCTTGTTTCCAGATGTAAAAGCTGGTGAAGCAACACAGGGTGGTTCTACAAACGATCCACCCAGAGGGTCTGAAAGAAAAGGCCACACTTTTCAGATTATCGTTTCTGTATGTCCTTTGTTTTAAAAGTATGTCCTACTTATTGGTCTTTAACCTGAGTAATTATCAAACACATTAAAGTTCCAGTTTTTTTTTTTTCTGTCTTGTTTCCTGATCCCTCTGAGCCGACGCCGCTCAGCTGCTCTCCTGTTTCTGCTGGCCACGTTCCACTGCCCACACCCTACAATGCTGCTCTTGTTTTGCCCTTGGCATTTAGGAGATGCCTTTATGCTTCCTGTATGTTGTACCCGCTGGTTTATCATTTTTTAGTCAGTGCCTTTAGATAACAATATGGAGCATTTGCTTGTTTTGCATATTTTTCCAGGTGACACACCGCTGGAATAATAATTTGCATGTCTGTGACGTTCTCTGTTGTTTGTGTGGATCGTCCTCCAGTGCATTGAGCAGCTGACTGCGATCCAGGCGGAGCTGCAGGACTCGGTGAAGGAGCTGACCAAGAGCAGGAAGAAGTATCAGGAGGCTGAGACCATGGCGCAGGCTGTCCGAGAAAAGACTGAACTCGAGACTAAGTACGATCCAGATGTCTGTTTTCATCTTATCTGAATCCTTAGAATCTGACCCAAAGAAGGAAGTGTTGAATAAAACCAGTTTGACCTTTATTACTTACTGGAAGAAATTAATGTTGGAGAGCACCAAGATGCTTAAAGCAGGGGTTGACGTTAAGGATTTTTACCACTTGCCTGATTTTCACATTTAATTTGCCCAGAAACTATTTTTACTTGCCCAGTATAATGTTTGATAAATATAGTTCCTAATATTCATTTTTGTATATATATCAATGAAACATGTTTGTTTTTTAAATGTTTTTTGTAATTCAGTATTTTTTAAGTTTACCGGTTCCTGGTGTGTATATGCATGCGTCAGATAATGAACTCAAGCCTACATTACTGTGTTAACATGCTTTTCAATCCTTCCTGCACATTCTTTTCAAACTAAACTTTACTTTAAACTGTTGTGTGCTTGGAAAAAATATAAATTGTAATGTTAAAAAGATTCATCCAGCTTAGCTTTCTAATCTGCAAAACATAAGACAATGACTGATTCTTCCCCTGATTGCACATGCCAGAGCCTGTGCTTTTTTTTCCTGAAGGTGCATTATCTGCAGGTATAACATCTGCTTTTTTCCCCCTAAAGTTTCTCATGGTTTCCAAATTGACCAAGTCTCTTAGAAATGTCAAAGAAGCTGCCCTTAAATTCTTCCTCCTGGCACATCACTAGCAGCTGGTGCCGTGACTCACAGCATCACAGGCATTTTTCTGACCATCAAGAAAGCTGCAGCTCGGCCTCATCCAGAAAGGCTCAGAAAGTATCCAAATTGAAACCATACCAATTCTGCTTTTTGTTGTGGCGCTGTGTGCAGAAACCACAGAAATGCCTGCTTTATCAGTACTGGTTTGGAACCCTGATTCTTTTTTCTTCTTTCCCCAAATGTTTTCCTTATATTTAGCTAAGTAGGGCAGACATAGTTAGGACTGAATGTTTTTATTTTGTGTTTTTTCTTTTTATTAATGAAGTCATTTCTCAAACCAGTGCTCTGTTTTCACATTAAAAGAAAGCAGCACAGTCTACCTGGGCATGAATTAACATTTCAGTCTGGCACAACATAACATCACAGACCTACAAGCATGTAGGTGGAGGGGTAATGTTTGGGACTGTAGGTAATTTATATCCATTAAACTGCATATCTAACCAGGTGCAAATATCCACACACAAAAAACCCTGCAGCAACAAAGGTGACAGAAACAACAATCTCTGATCAAAGCATAAAAGAACAAGGTGCCGTTTGTTTGTATGTTTTTTTTTTGTTTGTTTATGTTGCAGATGATAAATAATTTATGGGTTCCCCAGTACTGTTGTTAATACAGATGATCTGTTCATCCTAAAGTTATCGGAGGCCAAAGTAAATAAAAAACTAATTGCTCCAAATTGTCATTATTTGGATTAAACTCAATTATTACAGTGAATGTAAGAAATGATAAAAAAAAAAAAAAACTTTCTTGGTTTTAATTTGCTGTTTCTTTTTCAGGTCGAAGCTAAGTCTCTTCCAGTCGCGCTCCAGTCTCCAGAGAGCCAGTGTAAAGGTAGGATAACAATCTCCTGCTTATTATTTTAAAAACATGTCTCTGCCATTTGAGGCCATTTAAAGCCAGGCATACACTGTGCAATACTTTTCAGTCATTGCACGCAGCTGCAGCTCACACTAGGGATGGAACGGTTTTTGAAAACCGTCTGAACCGTTCGGTTCGACTGTCTCGGTTCGGTTCGCGAAAGAACAGGAGTTGGAAGACGCGCCAGCAGCACTTTATAGGTCTGCTGTATGGGACCACTTTGCATTTAGAGTGACCTACGATGACGGCGGAAAGAAAGTTGTGGATAAAAGTGCAACAGTGTGCAAGCATTGTGCAACACCTTTTGTTTATGCTAACAGCAACATGACCAGCATGTCAGGCTAACCCCGAAATCCCACATACTCCGTCAGCGCTCCGCCCCAATTCATTACTTTTTTTGGATTTTTTCATTAATTTCATAATATAAATATAAAAAAAGTTTTTTTTTTTTTTTCGGTGTAACAATAAACATATACCGAACCGAAAACCGTTACGACGAAACCGTGGACCGAACCGAACCGTGGATTTTGTGAACCGTTCCACCCCTAGCTCACACTGCATGACGAAACCGCAGGGTTTGAAAGTTCAAGATTTATGTTCTGACACTGTGCGACCCGACGCTCTGATGCATTCTACCTGCTCTCACTAAAACTAAAAACCAGGTGGGACTCAGCTCCGCAGTGAAATGGCGCTACTCGGACTCATCTATCCTGAAGCCAACTAGTAGAAGAGGAATATGAAGCTCACTAGAGTGAATTTAGTGCTGAAAGCCCTAAAAAGAAAAGGCGACGACGTATTTGGACAAAGACATGCTTGAGCAAACATGGCTACTACGGTCTGTCAATTTGACAAAAAGAGCTCCATTTCACTCATTGCACCCCTGCCATGCTTCTGTGTTTGCATCTGAGAGGAAGAAGAAGAAGGATCCTTGTTTGCGTACTGAGTGATTTGCAAACGACCTCCGTACGACGGCCGACTGAATTTAAAACATGTTTGATTTTCTCCCGACCTTCGATTCCTGATCGGGAGATGGTCGTTAGAGGCTGATCGCCCCTCGTTACCCCCTGTATACTTCACCATGCACCATCAGGCTGAAAGTCGACCCGATTGAAAAATTAATGACTGGAAAACGGCAGAAAATCGTACAGTGTATGCCCGGCTTAACTCTGCATCCCTGCTTTTATTTCAGCTCAAAGCAAAAAGAAGTGAATGCAACTCCAAAGCAACCCACGCCAGAAACGACTACCTTCTCACACTCGCAGCCTCCAACGCTCACCTGCAGCGGTACTACAGCACAGACCTCATGAACTGTATCAAGGTCAGGCCACACGTCCAAACAGGATCTAAATGTCAGCATGTCCTGCAGAGGTGACAGCACTCCTGTTTCTCTCCACGTGTGCAGGTGTTAGACGGCCGAATCTACGAGCAGGTTAAAGATTACCTGGTGTCACTTTGTCAGACAGAGCTGGAAACGTACCAGGCTGTGCACAGCTCCTTCAGCCAGCTGCTGAGCAGCTCCAACGGGGTGAGTCTGGTTAGTCTGTGATCCTGCGTCATGCTGCCATAGTTGAACTAAAGCCTGAACATGACTACAAAGACTGTCATTTGTTTTTTTTATCTTCACATAAATTATTGCATAATACACTTAATGAGAAGCTTGTTTGATGGGTGTTGCTTTCTGCAACTTGAAAGATTGCTGTTTAACTCTTAACAGAGCAGCCTTATCTAGTGATTTTAAATAGAAAGTGCTCTTTTAGGGTAAAGTCTCTCCTCCTGTGTTGCAGATGGAAACAGTCAAAGGTCAGACGTGAACACATTTCCCTGTAGTCACTGAGGGCAACAGCTGCAGTTAAAGAAATAGAGCTGATTGTAACCTTCAGCTGAGCCTTTAGTGCAGCCAATCTGAAGGTTGTTTAGTGTTTTTAAATATTAATTTGTTCAGAATGACGTCTTTGCTTCTAAAAGGTAATGTGATATCGTTTGCTTATAAATGAAACTTGTTCGGTCGTTTGGAAAAGCCTGAAAAAGCTTCTAACTGAACCATTAATTTCCATGTCTGGACAATTATGGCAGACGTTTCTTAAAATGGGTCTTGTTTTGGTCGCCTTAATTTTTCCCTCTTATAATCAAAATGAATTACTGATTACAAAAAGTTCTTTAGAAAATAACTTGTATTTAAAGTTGTAGGGAAGTCATATTTAAATGTCAAATCATTCTGGCTTAAACATGGAATTTCCCATTGGGAACCTACTAGCACTAAGTTGCTAACTGGTTAGCACGATGCTTCCCACAAACCAACCACAATCAAACTTGCTTGCGAAGCTTCCGCCACAACAATCCCGCCCCCTTGACAAATGACCAATCACATTCACTTTATTCACTCGTGTAAAGTCAGGCACCACTCGGGAGAATTCGGAAATGCAACGGTTGGAACGGCTGTTTTTCTACGACTTTAATACAGGATTATGCAGTATGTATTTTTGTTAAGTCTTTATAGCTAGATTTAGCATGACAAATGCGAAGTAGACATCAGCAGTGTTGTCATCTGATTTCATTTTTCCCTTCAAAAATCCAGAAAATGAACCTGCATGATTGTGTAACTTCTTAATAGAAAATGTGAGAGCTCTGACCGATTAATCAAGTATGCAGTTATTTTATTATAAGTGCCTGTTTAGTTTTTATTTTGCCTCCTCCATAAAGAGCAATAAAACATGTAAAAACATTTTACAATGCTGCATTTGAGAAGAGAGAAATATTATAAATATCATTAAAAGCTGATTTAATGTTTCCACCAAATAGAGAAACGACATCTGTTGTTTCCACTTTCAAAAACTGCCCTTACTTGTTATTCTTTTTTACTGAAATTAACCAGGAACCTTTGTTATAATGTAAACAGTTATGAAGGAACCCTCAGGTTACTTCCTCTGGAACTAGTTTATCTTTTTATAGCTTAGCAGCAGAAGTACACATGAAACACTGACATTTAAACAAAAAAGAAATATATGACTTCATGAAACCACTTATGATCATATAGAATATGTATTGATCATTTATTTCGAACACTTAGTAAAAAGCAAATACAAGTAAATAAAGTCATAACAAAACAAAAAAGAAGAAAAAGAAAAAAAAACATGTACATCCCATCATGTTCGAAAAAGGAGTAGGAAGAAGTAATAAAACTAAGTAATAAAAATAAAATAATTTCATTATTGCATAATGATTTTGTCCCTCCCTTTGTGTTTTTTTTTTTATATACCTTTATTTTTACCGGCAAGTCTTTGAGAACAAGTTCTTGTTTAAAATGGAGACCTGACAAGTGGAGTTACCACTTAGGAAAAGGGAAGTAGGGCTAAAATAAATACAATACATTTGTAATACATGCATAAAATATAATTTAAAACATAACAGACAACCCAAAAATGATTATGTAGAGAAACAGCTCCAAATGTCTGTGAACAAGGATGATACAATTTTTTTGAAGGAAGAAACTGAAATGAGTCTATCCAGTTTAAGAATATTTTGCAGAGCGTTCCAGTCACAAGCGGAAGCAGACTGAAAAGAAGCAAGACCAAAATGGTGTTGGTTTTGGGTATAAGTAATTGTTGATGAAGTGAAGGCTTGGTGCTGGAAGTGACAGGCTTTAGGGCTGGAGGGCTCCTTCAGTGACAGACTGCTGCACCTTAAATGCACCAGGGAGCGTTATCACAGATCCTTCCTCCCAGCAGCTGTAAAGGTCTGGTTATCTTCCCCGCTTTCCTCCTCTAAATAAAAAATGGATGACGGAGGAGACTCATCCACGACCTCCGACACTAAACTCTCCTCCTCTTGCATGTTTCCGCTGTCCATAGCGTTCCTTGACAGCGTCGTTTCTAAGTCACCAATTTAGTGCTACTTGGTCCCAATGGAATTTCCCATTGGGAACCTACTAGCACTAAGTTGCTAACTGGTTAGCAAGATGCTTACGACAAACCAGCCACAACCAAACTTCCTTGCAAACCTTCCGCCACAACAATCCCGCCCCCTTGATAATCGGCCAATCACAAAGTCGGGCACCACTCTGGAGAATTAGGAAATGCAACAGTTGGAACAGCCACTTCCCTACGACTTGAAAACAAACATGGTGGATGGAGTATCTGATTTGTATGAGATGATCATGATTATAATGCGGTTAAAGACCAAAGTGGATTAAAGTAATTTGAATGACATCAAACATTGGATTAAGACGCTGTGTGAAAACTTTAGCAGTTTCAGCGCTGTGGTTGAGGAGCTGAGAAGAGGATGTTGACCGGCCACAGAGGAACCAGGAATCTAAGCTATTGAACTTTTCCTGAGATTTCTGTTTTTAATGGTGAAATATTTAAAAAGGTGTTTGTCTCTTCAATGTCATACTTTCTAAAGTTAACCTGCCGATTTAGTCACAGAAATTAAAAATTTGTCCAAATAGCTGCTGTGGGTTATTAAAAAAGAAAGGTCTGATCTGGAAAAAACATAGAGAACTTGCTTTAATGAATATAAAGTTACAGTTTGCACTATTAGGTCTTAAGTCAAGGGCGTTATAGAAACCAGGTATTTTTCTTTCTTCCTTTTTTTTTTCTCCATTTCAGTCTGCTCATATTTGACCTTCTGTACACACAGGCTTTTTTTCTCATTTTATTTATATAAACATGAGTAATAACTGCTTGAATAACAACTAAGTTTTTTTCTGTGTGCAGGTGGCACCTTATTGATAGTCTTTTTCAATAGATTAAAATATGCGTCTGATTAAAAGTAGCGTTTGAAAATAAGCTGTGTATTTTTTTCTAAAAACGTGATTTTATTTGGTGTGAATGAAAAATCCTCATAAATGAGAAAAAAGATTAAAAAACTTCAGTTTGTGTAAATAATGTTTATAAAAACAAAGTAAAAAAAACTTTAATGATAGTCTAATATATGTATAATATGACTAAAGCTAATCATTTAAGGTTCAGTTTAAAAAAATTGTTAGACTTTAAAGTGTATATATATTATTTTATTTATTTTATTTTTATTTATATATATATATATATTTTTTTTTTTTTTTTTTTGAAAGATTTATTTAATTGTTTCAAATACATTACAAAAGGTAAAGGATTAGTCCAGACCTCACAACGTCAATTTACTATTAAAAAAAAATGTATGATTTAAATACTTTAAAAATTGCTTCATACATTAGTAACCACGTTTTTGGGTTATTTTTTTCTTTAGAAATGTGTAATGAATCTTCATATTTTTTATTTTTTATTTTTTTGCATGCAACCATAATCAGTCTTTCTCTCATCCACTATGGTCCTATTATTCTGTCCTGAAATTGCAAAGCATTTTAGTTCAAAAAAAAAAAAAAAAGGGAGGATTTTTTGATAAATTTTAAGGAAACTTTGGCCTCTTGAGCTGAACTTCTGCTGCTTCAGTTTCTACTAATTAACCGAAACGGTTTGAGTTACTTGGTGCTGCTCGGTTGCACGCTCCAAAGCAGACGTTTGTTCGGGTCATCTTGCCTCGCTGGACCTAAAGAGGGATTTTTGTTTCTCGTCAGCCCAGAATATGATCAAATCAGTAGGAGAGCAGTGGGGGGAGGGCAGTTTCAGAGCATGAGCTTCCTGTGTCAACACAGAACAAGTTTGAGTTATTGGACACATTATGGGCAATCCAAAATAAAACCAGGGTTCCCGCGGGTCCTTAAAAAGTCTTAAAAGGCATTGAATTCTTCAAAATTGGTATTAAAATGTCTTAAATCAGTCTTTCGTAGGTCTTAATTTTTAAAACATAATAAATAGGATTATTTTTATTATGATTTATTTTTGTAATCTAAATAAAACGTTAAAATTTACAAATTTTTTTTTTTTATTTAAAAAAAATAACGGCTCACTATTATTGGTTCCGTCCCGATTGCGGAACCAATAAAAGCGTTGTTGCGGCCGGTGACATTTGGGAGATGCACCATTAACTTTTTGTCTGGAAAATATGAGCAAGTGTAAATGTAACCTAAATTGTCTCCAGCCAAGAGTTTTCTCCACGGCTAAAACCAGGGAACATACATGAGGCTCAGTGGATTTAGTGCAAGAAGTCATTCAAGCTCAGAACGATGGGAATTAAGGCAGTGGAGTCGCACATGCGAAGCACGAAACACAAAGCGTCAAAATGGAGTTACCGAGAAACAGCCGGTATTTCTCAGTTTAGTTCCACCCTTGTCTCTGCACCGCCTCCACTTATCACCAAATCAAACATACTAAGAAAAATAGCTGCAAAAAAGACTTAGCACTGGTTATGTTGTGGCTTTAAAGGAATAGTACACCCAAAACATGATTAGCCTTCATTTTCTACTCACCCCCATGCTGAACAACACTCTGGAGTACTTTTTTTGATATCTCAAATGCATCTGGAGATCTGGGAGGCTTCTTGCTGTCTGCTGACATTCAAATAATGGAGGTCTATGGCGCCCGAGGCAGAAAGGTCCATAAAAGTCCACAAAAAACATGTCAATATTCCTCCATACTGCTCTTCCAATGTATTCCAAGTGTCCTGAGTGGGTAGCATCCAGAATTTACTCGAAACGAAGTCATTTAGAATGTTTTTAGAGCATAAACAGTAGTGTATAGGATTTCCTGAAAGCGCGCACATGCGCGCTCACGACGCTACGGAAGCCGGCAGACCAAACCAGCGCATTCAGCTCGGCAAAGAACTCATGCTCTTCCTCAACACTGAAGTCCTCAGACATTTTTCTTTCGTCGTTTCTTTCTTTGCACAGGTAAACAGCACATTTCTTCTTCTACGCTTGCATTATTGGCAGAGCAGACGCTGAATGCGCACTTTCATCTGGCTTGGTCTGCCGGCTTCCGTAGCGTCGTGAGCGCGCATGTGCGCGCTTTCAGGAAATCCTATACACTACTGTTTATGCTCTAAAAACATTCTAAATGACTTCGTTTCGAGTAAATTATGGACGCTATCCACTCAGGACACTTGGAATAGATTGGACGAGCAGTATGGAGGAATATTGACACGTTTTTTGTGGACTTTTATGGACCTTTCTGTCTCGGTCACCATAGACCTCCATTATTTGAATGTCAGCAGACAGCAAGAAGCCTCCCAGATCTCCAGATGCATTTGAGATATCAAAAAAGTACTCCAGAGTGTTGTTCAGCATGGGGGTGAGTAGAAAATGAAGGCTAATCATGTTTTGGGTGTACTATTCCTTTAAAACTGATTAGTTTTGTTCCCTGCTAAAACAAAGTTTGTGAATTCAGTTAAATAATTGTTCAAATATATCTGTCATTTGTGTGTTTTTAGCTTTCTTCCTGTATGGGAAGCTTTTCAAAATGTGAAACATTAGTGCAGTGGTTTATGTTAAAATAAACCTTTGGGTTAAGTTGTCACAAGCAGGTTTTTCTTGTGTTTCTTGTGAATTTGGTCCTAAATTTTTATTTCAAGTGGCATTAAAAAGTCTTAAAAAGTCTTGAATTTAACGTGCCTTATGCTTTAGGAACCCTGAAAAGGTGTTATTTAAATAATTTAGCTTTAAAAATGAATAGTTTTAGAGTTAGAATCTTTTTTGCTTTAAAAACAACTTACCTAAAGAGCAGTTACTGCAAAACAGTCGTATTCAGTTACATTTTATGCACGATTTTTAGATAATATGGGTTTTGTAGCTTCACTTTGCTTAGCTTAAACTGGAGCGGCTGTTATATCTCAGACAAGCATCAGGCTTTTCTGAATGCATAACATTTCTGAAAACAATGAGGAAATCTGGCAACCCCACCTCTGATATCAGAAAATCTCCCTTTTACAGTAAATGTAATGTAAATAGTACACACTACTGTCTGTACTGGCAGTCCAGACAACGAGCAATGCTAAATTTCAATTATTTTTAATTAATTATGTTTATATGTACCCAGAGGTTTATCCATTTGAATGGGGGGAATTTGAAAATATTGAGTAGTGTTGATAACTTGTGCACAGGTTGTGTTTGTTTTTGATTTCTGCGTTTTATACATATTTGCAGATCCTCCAGGACTTTCACCAGCAGATGTTTGTGCAGAAGGTTCCTGTGTTTCAACAAGCTTTAGATTTCCTGTATCAACCTATCGACTCAGACACGGTAAATAATGACATTTTTTCCTCATTACTTTTTCCCTCTAGTTGAAAAATGTTTCAACTTTACATTCAGTCATTTCTTGTAAAGGTGAAATCTAAGTTTGGATTCATGTTTTAGATGCACAGAGCTTGTTTGTGTTCAGTTGTGCAGGTCCACACTAAAGACCTCACATATTAACCTCTAGGTGTGTGAAGCTACATATATTCCTACTTTTAGTGCCTTCGGCTCAGCCCACACATATAAAGAACAAATCCAGCGTTGTTCTCAACCTGTACACACCCAGATGGTTTATGTGCAGAGCTCTGTGTCCATCTGCAGCTTAAAAATTACAAAGACTAAGGTCACAGAGACAGTTTGGTTTTAAGTTATTTAGTCCCACTATTTAACCTTTTGTTTTGTTTTTGTTACCCTTTATATGAAATGAACATTTCTTCGACTAAATATTGTTTTTTTTCCAGTTGGGGAACTTGTTTATTGTCATTGTAAATTATTTATTATTTGGTAACAATATGATCCGTTAGACCTTGCCCTTGTTAAAGCGATATGTATACGTTACATCTGACCTAGTCAGATTTCCATTGCCCCGTCGGTACGGAAAAGCACCAGAGGGCTGATTGCCACATTGCACTGATATGATCCACAGCCCTTTGTTAAGCTCCTGTCAGACCTTGACGATTTAAACCAGCGTATGCCTGAGGTACAAAAAATCTGCCTAAAATGCTGGCATATGTTGGATAAGTTATGGCAATGTTTTGTATAAGTTATGAGCACGCCGACGCACGTTGACAATACGGCAAGTATGTATGCCAGCATGTGCCATACGTGGGGCATAAGTTTCAGGTACGTTATCTGATCGTTGACAAGTTACTCATGAATTCTGATTTATACTCAGAAACCTGGTCGTCTGTGTGTGTTGCAGTGAATGCACATATGCCCCGCCCCTTCCACAGACACTCTGCTGCACCTCTCTAAAATTGTAGGTGACCGCAGACAGGAGGCGTCTGATTGGTCAAATCTACATCTGCTCTACACTATGCGTATTTCCTGTTTGCTACCTTACCGGCTTGTTTTGTTTGTATGACCGCCATTGTGGAAAACGACTCGTGAAGTTGCACCAACTTGAAGAGTGAGGTGCGCGATGGACCCTTTTTCCACCTGGATCCTTGCTCTTTTTGACCCTCATGTCCCTCCGTTGTCACACAGCTAGTTCCTCATTGTCCCTCTTGTGTTGTGGCGTGGAATAACACAGTGCAGACCACGCTTCAATATTGGGCAGAAATAAAAAATATCTGTGATACGCTCACTGCGGCACACTGCTGCGGGAGGATAACCAGCCCTTTAGTCCTGGTGTCTAGCTTATCAAAACCTATAGTATATATATTGTGCATAACTTCTGCGTAACTTATCCAGAACTTCTCTCCAACGCATATCAGCGTATCTGACGTGTTCCAGACAAACGCTGAACGTGTTTCTAACTTCCAGCTACTGTATAATGGCGTTTTGGCAGCGTTTTGGTATAAAGGAGGAAACCGTCAGTTCTCCTCCAGACTTCATCCCCATCATAGGGTGAGCCAGAAGGTGAGTGATGGATCCTCCCTGCGTTCACGCCCACCACCAACAAACTGCCTAGCAGACATGACGCTCAATCTGCTGCGTCTAGTGCACATGCACGAAAAGCAGCATGCTGCAGTTACACTGCTTCAAGTAATTTCCCTCTGGGATTATTAAAGTATGTCTGATTCTGATTTCTTTTGCTTTCTTTCTTTCTTTTTATTTATTTTTTTTTTTTTGGCGGGCTTACACAGCAGCTAGGTTAATGCTGCGAAGAAAGAAATTTTTTATGCAGAGCGGGCGTCTCCGGGCGCAGCTGAGCAGTTTTAACTGATGCTTTGTAATGCTGGCCATTACGCTGCCGTGTGTTATGCAGAAGTTAGGCTGTCGTTGGACATAAGTTCTGGACTCGTTATGAATACTCTATGTATACGCCAATGTTGAAAAAATACATAGAAAGTTCAGCGTATGTCAGCGTTTTAGGAGATTCTGGGACGTCAGGGATACTCTGGGTAAATCAGCAATGTGTGACTTCAGGTTTTTGGTCCTCTATGAGGATTTTAAACATTTTCTTTTTGATATTTCTCTCAGTAATCATATATATATATATCATATATAATGTATTTTCTCAATTGCATAATCAGATAAGAGTCAAAAACAAATCACATGTGGATTTTGCTTCAAACCACATTTACGATTTAAAGATTTGGCCACAGTAGATAATTAATTAGCAGAGCTTAGTGCGTTACAAATCATTATGATAATCAAAGCATCTGAGTGGTGGAGTTTGATATAAACGGGTAAAACTGTTTGTAATGTGACTCCACTGACATCTGCAACAGCTGTCCCACATGTAACCGCTGCGCCACTTCTCTGAAGTGTGGGGATAAAAGCTGACTGTCGGAGCACGGGACCAGATCTGGGTCACTGTTCCATGTTGAAGAGCAGCTGTTGTTTGCTGAAACTCTGAGCAGTTCAGCTGATCCACTCTGCCAAAGGATTAAAAAATTTTTTAGTTTTTCATTTTTTTTATTTTTGTACCTCCTGGTAAAAATTAATACAGCCTTTTTCAGCCAGAATATTTCAGTAAAACCTTTTAGTATAAACACATTTACTCAGTCTGGTAAAAAAATATACATATATTCATAATGTTTACACTTTTTAGAACTAATAATCTTTTCTAAAGTGAAATATTATTTTCATTAAGTAAAAAAGCATCTGAAGTTTTGCATAATGATCATAAACTCTGATTTCCTTTAGTATGAAAGAAACAACCATTATTTCTAAAAGGTACAGATTCCTGACTAATGTGCTAGAGCCTTGTCCTAACTGCTCCTGCCTTTTTCAGCTTCATTTTTTAACCGTATAAATATTATTTATCCATTCTGAAGCAGGTTTGAAAAAAAACAAAGCAGAGACTTTTTGAATTTGTCTTAATAAAACAAAACTTCAAATGCGCTTTTTTTTTTTTTTTTTTTTTTTGACTTATCAATCCACTGTAGTAGTGAACAAAGTACTATAACCTTACTTGGCTCGTCAAGTGAATGCCAGGGGTGTGTGAGGCAGTAATCAAAGCAAAAGGTGACTACTTTGAAGAACCTAGAATACAAGACATATTTTCAGTTGTTTCACACTTTTTTGTTAAGTAAATAATTCCACGTTTTAATTCATAGCTTTGATGCCTTCAGTGTGAATCTACAATTGTCATAGTCGTGAAATGAAACAAAACTCTTTGAATGACAAGGTGTGTCCAAAATTTTCTTCAGTACTATATATATATATATATATATATATATATATATATATATATATTAGGGATGCACGACATTGGAATTTTGGCCGATATGCCGATATTTTAAAACTCATGCAGCCAATAACCGATATCGATACCGATGTTAAAGCTGGACAAAAATAAGTAGTCATTGAAAATAGCAGTTTTGTTATCCATTTCTGACACTTTGAAAAATAATATACTCAAATATATTTTCATATGCTGATATCAAATTGATTTTTAAAAACGCGGTATCGATCTATTTTACTTTCAAAATCTCGTGAAATTTGATCGTTCTGTTACAAACTCTCGTGATATTTTGCAAATTCTTGTGAGATTTTGTTAGTAAAATAGATCGATACCGCGTCAATATATCAACATATAAAAATATGGCAAAATTTCATGAATTTTCGGGGGATTTCGTAGCATAACGATGACATATAGCAATATTTCATTAGTAAAAGAGATTGATATGGTGTTTTTAAATGGCAAAATATCAGCATATGAAGATATTGGGATATTTGAATGTATCAATATTTTTTCCCTCGTCTTTAGAAGTTTTTAAGTCTGTAAAGAAGTTTTTGATGAAGAAGAAGTATTTTTTTTTTTTAGACTTTAGAAACTCAGAAGCTGATCAAATATCGGGTTAAATATCGGTGGGGTGGCCGATGTCCGATTTTCAGTTCTAAGGCCGATACAGGCCGATACCGATAGGGGGCCGATTATATCGTGCATACCCAAATAAATATATATGAGTAAAAATCCCAGAACCACACGGGGGGACCTAGTGAATGACCTGCAGAGAGCTGGGACCAAAGTAACAAAGGCTACCATCAGTAACACACTACGCCGCCAGGGACTCAAATCCTGCAGTGCCAGACGTGTCCCCCTGCTTAAGCCAGTACAGGTCAAGGCCCGTCTCAAGTTTGCTAGAGAGCATTTGGATGATCCAGACGATGACTGGGAGAATATCAAATGGTCAGATGAAACCAAAATAGAACTTTTTGGTAAAAACTCTACTCGTCGTGTTTGGAGGAGAGAGAATGCTGAGTTGCATCCAAAGAACACCATACCTACAGTGAAGCATGGGGGTGGAAACATCATGCTTTGGGGCTGTTTTTCTGCTAAGGGACCAGGACGACTGATCCGTGTGAAGGAAAGAATGAATGGGGCCATGTATCATCAAATTTTGAGTGAAAACCTCCTTCCATCAGCAAGGGCATTGAAGATGAAACGTGGCTGGGTCTTTCAGCATGACATGGATCCCAAACACACCGCCCGGGTAACGAAGGGGTGGCTTCGTAAGAAGCATTTCAAGGTCCTGGAGTGGCCTAGCCAGTCTCCAGATCTCAACCCCATAGAAAATCTTTGGAGGGAGTTGAAAGTCCGTGTTGCCCAGCGACAGCCCCAGAACATCACTGCTCTAGAGGAGATCTGCATGGAGGAATGGGCCAAAATACCAGCAACAGTGTGTGAAAACCTTGTGAAGACTTACAGAAAACGTTTGATCTCTGACATTGCCAACAAAGGGTATATAACAAAGTATTGAGATGAACTTTTGTTATTGACCAAATACTTATTTTCCACCATATTTTGCTAATAAATTCTTTAAAAATCAGACAATGGGATTTTCTGGATTTTTTTTTCTCTTTTTGTCTCTCATAGTTGAGGTATATCTATG